GGCTTAAATTATAACTAGCATACGGAATCTTAATCATATTATACCTTCTGTTTAAGCAATGATCCCTCTAATTTCTAATGCTGTGTGTGGAAAGAAATTGTTTTTTGTACAGCTTTTCCCAAACCAAGTGCAAATACACCACAAGTATATGAGTAAATTGCAACTACATGTAATAGTGACATATTTAAAAGTTTACATATTTCTTAGTGAAAGTATAGAAAGTAGAAAGTATAATTGTATGTGGAAAATAGGAAGGAATCCAACAGGTCAGCTTGGATTATAAAAATAAAACAAAATATACCTGAAAGAGGCAAAAGATTGATTTGAAAGATCAATAACGTGGTTCTATTTGCCACTCTAAAAATGATCCATTATGAGACAGGAACACCCTATAATGGGAAATGTTCAACTCCCTTCCCTTGTAAAGCCATCATGTCATACTTGAAAGGCCCCTTGCCTTCCTCACACTGTGAATTATAGGCCTTTTACCTGCATTCTAAATGTTAACTTTCAGATTTCTTCAAAGGAAAAACCGCTGTGTCTTTTTTGAATCAAAGAAACAAACAAGCAATAATCAGTTGAAGAAAGGGGGTCCACTATCCTTTCTTAAAAGTGCAGATGAGGACTTAACACACCAAATACTTAAGGAAAGTGGAGGTCTGCCATAATCAGCACAACTGGTCACTGAAAACTGGACAGAAGCCATTAGATGAATTAACATTTCTCTTGTGGTACTAACTGCATTTTTAAACAGAAGTTTCTAACATTTATTAATGAATAATGCCTACATTCCCCTATTACACTGGCAGATTTTCATTGGAACAATAAACAAAAAGGACTTCTTTAAGTCAGGATCACTTATTCATTCTCCAAACATGTTATGATGATTTTAACAAAGGCCATAGGTTAAGACCAAGACCACATATATATTACAAACTAAATGACTTACCATCAATCTTAGTTTCCCACTGGGATTTGTAGTTGTCTGAGGGTGCTAAGATTTTCCTGACAGAGACTTTTTAAGCAACTACAAGTCCTTCAATCCAGGAGAAGTCACCAGATTTGATAATGTGCACATACAATTTCTGTGGCCAGGGCTGCGAGTAGAAAAGTTCTTGAATCCCAACCTTCCAGAGTTGTAATTCTTGAAGTACTCACCTCTGAGAATTCCAGAGTTCTTAGGTTTACGGATATGGGTATCGATCTACCATCAGTACTTAAAACCAATAACAATTTGGAAATCTACATTGCTTACCTAGATATATGTAACGCTTGGCTATCCCAGATTCATCTTTCAGTTTAAAGTATGTATTATCAGTGAGATTCAATACTTTGATAGTTCCTGTCCAATAATAAGATCCAGGAGCTCCCATGATAACCAACTCCTATCAAAAGAAGAATTTCATCATGTTAAGCTTCTACAGTCAATGGAAATACATCTTTGAGATTCCTCATGCATGCATAACTAAATCCAGAAACAGAAAATACTTAAAAATAATGAAGTCATGGGAATGAAAGCTCTGAAAATGTAGAAAAGAGTGTAACAGAATAATCTCTCCCCACCCCACCCTGACATACATCCTAACCCTCCAGGCCTTTAGGAAGGCATTTAAGACCTGGCTATTCCCCCAGGACTTTGGGCCAGAATGAGCACAGTCCCCTTGAGATATTGTATGCTTCAGCCATATTCACCCTTTATCATATACCTGGTTTTAATTATATGTGTTGCTTTTATATCTGTTGATTTTGACTTTTTCTTTCATGTGTTGCCCAGAACCACATTGTCATTGGGTGCCCATATCAATGCTTTCAACCAATCAACCAATTTTTTTATTCGGCAATACAAATACTGTTCATTGGGAAACAGTAAAAATAGAAGTTTCAACATTCTAACAGACAAAACAGTGAGGAAATGTTTTGGTTTTGTAATCCATACACATAGAGTTAAAATGTCATCATCACCAAGACTTGAAAGTGATTTAAAAAGAGGCTTGCCTGCCTGCCTGCCTTCCCTTTAGAAAACATAGAACATCACATCTTGTTCCAAGCTGCCACTATCTGAATTCATCTCTAATTAAGACAAGTGATCAAATGTATCCTCAGCTGAGGCTGGTTGGTTCATAGAGAAATGGACCGAGATTAGGGTATTTGTCTACTTTAATCTTTTAGTATCGTAACAGAATTGCAAAATCCTGCCACAGTTTCTCTCTGTTTCCTCTTCTACTAAACAAAATCAAAGTGGGTTATTTTGAATCTCTTGCTCCTTCCTTTCCCAGGACCAAATTGTCACTTATTTTCTCTTCCAGTTCCCCTAATTAGTCTTGCATCCCTTTGTCAAGGCTATCTCTGCACTCTGCTACAGTTTTCACGCTAGCTCCCTACCACCCCAACTTCTCCATCTTAAAACTGCAGCAACAGAGGAACCAGCACAGCAGGCAGCAACTTCTTTAGGATCAGGCAAGTCAAATATTTGTCTGCTCCAGAGGATGGGCAATGTCATGACATAAATTGCCCAGATCCTGATCTAGATGAGAACCAAGAAAGGATGAAGTCACCAGCTCTTAAGACAATCTCCAGTTTGAACTACAGGGGAAGTGGACACTTATTCACTTAATGTATTGACTACAAAAAAGGTTCCAACGTAAAACAGAATTAATATTAAGCAATTTAAAAAAAAAAAATAGAATGCAACTTCCTGCCCTCAAATTTGTCTGCGAAAACCCATTTTGTACTAAACCAGTCAATTCTCCTTCCATAACTAGGACTGAGAGCAGCCCACATTAATTCCCTGCATATAATTAAAGGCAAATATGAAGTCTGTGTTCAAAGCCTAAACTAGTCTAAAGACCTGAATTGGGAGGAAGAATGATTTATTTATGCAGAGTATATCATAAATACTAAGATATGGCAGCGAGAAAAAATAACTCCATTTCCTTTTTAAGCCACCTTTGTCTATGTTCCCCAGTCCTCACAAGCCCTCACAAGAGTCCACATTTCTGAGTCCTCTAAGCTCTCTCTCTCTTCTCTGCCAGACCAAGAAACTGGCTACAGGTCAATGGGCATGGCTGCTTTAATATGGGTAAACAAAGAAGCAACTGAACATGCAATATTTTGGTGAGTGGCTGTCATCCAGGGACAGCCTTCTCATTTTTGAGCAGAAAACAGAATAAGCAGGACTGAACGCTCCTATATTAGGCACTTGCCTGTTTGACCCAGAGACCATTTATCTACACTTCCTGCTCATTGTGAACTGGCTAATGCTTGAGGCTGTGTGCTGAAAGTTCAAAGCCACCTTCTGAATGAGGAACAGGCAAGGGGAGTTCAGAGCATGGGAAAAGAAGCAGGCTTGATACTGCTGACAAGCAAGGAAACAGCTGCTGCTGACACTGTGCTGATGATCAAACACTTTATCGCAAAGGTTGCCACCCATTTCAGATTAACCTGGAAAGATCCCACTGCACTGTTTTGAACACCATGGTGTAAGTTTTGTTTACTGGATCCAGAGTGATTAAACCCACCAGGCCAAATTCAAAGCTGCCTTGAAAATTAGATATAGCCATGTCAAAGCCAGACATTACTAAAGCCATATGGCTGTCATAAAAAAAACAGTGGACCAGTATCTCATTTCCCGTTCAGAAAAGATACCAGGACAAAGGACTTGTCCATCAAATCCAACATGTCTTTTCTGACTGAGAAGAGCTGTTCAGATCTCTCATACTGTCTTTAAAAAAAAACAGAGATATTTCAAGACTGAATTTAGGATGTTCTACATGTAAAGTATGTGCTGTTTCACAGAACTATAGTACTGATCCAATGACACATAGAAATGGGGGGAAAAATCCCAATTCCCCACAAATAACAGTCCAAACTTCAGTTATTTTGCCATCAAACTTTGGTGGCATGATTTTTGGGTGGGGGCTGGAGTGGAAGGGTAGAAATAGGAGCAATTTGCCTCCCAAAAGCCTCTTATTCCTGTTCCTGTACTCAACCCTCCACCCCCACAAAAGAAAAAGGAACAAAAACATTATGACCACCCCTTTCAGTGATGAAACCATACTTCTAGTGAATTCACCTGTAGCCCTCCAGCTGGTCAATGGCAGGAGTGATGAGGGCCTGGCCCAAGGAAACTTGCTCAGCCTTCTTTTAAATGTAAGAGGCCCCAGATTCAATCCTGATAAAATTGGGAAGTCCCCTTTTCCAAACCCTGAAGTGCCACTATCACTCAGAATAGACACTTCTGAGCTATAGGCACCAATCTCTGTACACAGCTGCTTCTTCAACTCTACTTGGTGACACGAAAGAGATACTTTATGTTGGAGCACACCGAATGAGTACATTAGTACAAGCCTTGATTGACCAAAATTCTTAGTTTTGTAATGCAAATCATTTTTACAATTTTTTAAGTGGTATCCTAAGTGTGTGGCATGAACTTCTTAATTCAAAGGATTTGAGGAACAGTAGATGGGGTTGGCAAGGTAGTCTCAAGATTAGAGATCCTAGCGTGCATGAGTAGCACAAATATGTTTGGGTTAAACTAAGCTTTCAGCATACTGGGCAAAATGTGCCAAACCTGACCAGGAATGTCCTTATTGTCTGCATGTGGCACAGTGTGACAAAGGCTAGTAATCCAGTCTACATCTTCTCTAACTAAAAAAAGATTTGTAGGCCAAGGCTGACAAATGAGGGGTGGTAGATATAAGTATGAGACCATCTGGTGAGGACCATGCAAGACTGCAGCTTGAAATGTAAGAGAAGTAAATGGTAAAAAGTATGAATTAATGGAGGAATTGGAGGAAATAAAAACAGATATATTGTGTGAGTGCACAACTAAGAGAAAGGTGAAGGCTGTAACAGATGTGAATGAAGGTGGCCTGACCCTTAAATGAATACATATGTGGAAGCAGTATAGGTTTAATTATGAATGAAAGGACTAAAATGAACTTATTATTTGGTATCATGTAAGTTGCTGTGGATGTGTCTGAAGTAGGAATCCATAGGCTGGCAATAGTTTCGGGTTTTTCATGCTTGCTAGAGAATGGTGTTCATGGAAAAAAGAGATAGGAGTTTTGAGGAAAATTGTGCAACATTCTAAATGACTGAAACCTGAGGAAATAATTAATCTGTTAGATGACAGGAATGGATAGGTAGGAATGAGATCAGAAAGTACAGAAAAAGGTATTGGGCCATTTGGAGACTCAAGAATGAATTAGAATGGTGGCTACTGAATATCTGCCTAGAAAAAAGGTATGTTTCAAATACATGCTTCGAACAGAAGTCTGTTCATACAGGTACACGAGAAAGGAATGGATATAAATCTAAAAGCATGACTGATATGAGATTTTACAGTGCAAGGCTGAGGAAATTAATGAAGAACCAAGGATTATTTTAGGTTCTGAATTGGGACAGGCCATTTTTTGACATGTCAAGAGTGGATACTGGGGAAAAAATGGGCATGGAAAAAATGAAAAGAAATAAAAGAAACAAGAGTGAAAGCAGAATGGCAGCAGGAAGGGTAAGTATGAGTCCTATATGAAAAGGAGATACATTAATCTAGGAAAGAGGATGAGGAAAGCAGATACAGAAGTTACTTGGAACAGTATGGAGTTCTTCTTCCCTTTCTGTACATTGCACCGTTTATCCTGAAAGGGAATAGTGTGATGGTATGTATGTATATAATAATGTGTGCATATATGTAATCAATTAAATCAACATTTAAAAGCCAAACACTTCTTTATTCAATAGTGAAGCCTTCTCACCATGCTACACTACTCACCTCTGTGAAGAAACCTGCTATTCCAGCCTGACATGAACCATGCTCTTCACCATATTTCTTCTTATATTCTAAGGCAGAAAACAAAAAACAAGCGAAGAAGAAATACAGTCATGTCAGTCTCCACCAGAAATGTGTAGTTCCCAACTCCACAGTCTCCTCTCCTCCTCTTTATTCCACATGTACCGTCATAACTGAGACAGTGAGGTCCACTGCAGAGCAAATCCTGGGACATCAGCAAACTGCAGACTTGACTATTGTGACACCAAATGATATCATTCACAGATTAAAACTGCTTTCCAAAGTTTGAGGAAAACATATTTTGGATTGTTTATAAAAGGAAGTAAAAAGCTAAAAATGCAAAAGTCCAGCTGATGGAGAGCTTGATGATTTGCTCACAGAAACTTAATTAAAAGGCTAATTGGAGGCTGAATAATCCTTGGTCAGTTCTTAATGAAGTAAAGCTAAAACACTCATAAGTCCATTGTCTAAAGTTAAAACTCTGTTACCCCTGCTTCCCTCAGTTCTCTCCTTGACCTGTTGAATTCTTATCTTATCCTATTTGTCGCTCTACTGTAACAATTTAGACTCTATACTTTTGGGGACAGAAGATCCATTTGTGGACTCCTCTTAGCCCATAAAGTGTCATGAACATTGACAACAGTGGGGATGACCAAAGTTATTGCTACCATTATTACATATGAGTATTAGTACTTCTATTATTAAACAGCAGTCCAGTGAACAAAGGACAGTACAAGGAAGTCCTGGGATTTATTAGGCCTGGGCTGAAGAAACACTCCAACCAATTCCTCCAGAGCTCATTTCTTGTTTATATATTCAATTGTGTACAACCTTTTCACCTAGGAACATCACTCGGGGCAGCTACAATATGCACACTGGATGGCACTAGACTCAGATGCATCAGCTTTGTGATTGAGTTTACTGATTTCCCAAAGTAATATATGTTTGGCTCAGTGTGATCTGTGAAAGCAACTATTTTGGTCTGTGTGAAGGAGTGAAGTTGGAGTTGGTGTCTGTGCTTGGGAAAGGTAAGCTGCAGCCAGGCAGAAACACTTCTCGCCCCATTTCCCTCCTTTCCCTGACTACTCACAAGCATCCAGACCAGCTTTCCAGTTGCCTGTGATAATAAGCCACACCCTGGTGTTTCAATGATGTGCCGAGTGGAGGAGGAGGAGGAGGGTGTGTGTGTGAGAGGAAAGGTGACAAGCAAATGGCCTACAGACAGGGAAGCAGAGGCGACGTCTGAGGTTTGGCAGCTATTGCAAGCAGGCAAGAGGACTATCATTCAACTGCCAGGACCACCAGTTGTGGTGAGCAGCATATCTTGGTGGGAGTCCTGCCTGGAGCTTGGAGTTTTGCTGGAAGCTGAGTAGTAACTAGAAGAGGAACAACCACACTGAGGCAGCACCTCATCCCAACTAGTGCAAAAATATTTGGAAAAAAGGCAAAGGTTGTACGCCACTCTACAGACTTTATATATATTTGTATAGACTTTATACACTTTATAGACTTTTGCTTGAACTAAGTATTAAAGGAATGAGTATTAAAGACATATTTACAGGACAACATCACCTTGTAAGTCCCAGATGGGTAGAGAGCAATAGTCTGTTGTTGGGGACGGTGTGTGCTGCAATAAAGCATTTTGTATAGATTTGCTATGCTGTGGTATTGTGATGGAATGGAATTATGAAGGCCAAACTCAGGGAGGGAAACATGCTCT